CCTACGATACCTACATCACCTCGGCAACGATCACAGTTTGGGTCTATCAGAGGACCTACGTTCAAACAGACGGATTCTATGCGGACAGCTCGAGGCAAGAAACTTAGAAAAAATCTTGCTAAGGTTACCCTCACTCGCTACCAATCTCGGTAGCCGGATAGTTCGAGGTAACTCACGTAATTCGGGATGACTCCCACTTCAGTTACCCTTGCTTATTGCCAGCTTGGTAGCTCAATAGCTTGGGTAACCTATATACACATGACTTGGGACAGAAAGGAACCATTCTAAGCAAAAACAATATTTCATTAAGTACCGAGGTTTTTTATAAAAACCAGGCCTAACAACTCGGGAAAATACATCAAAAGGAGAGAAAAAAGAAGAGAAAACCGGGCTCAGCCACCCGGGAACATGCACTCAAAGATCAGAAGAAAAAAGAAGAACAACCCCAACATCAATGGTCCACCACTTCCACGTCCTCATCAGTCTCCAGGGAATCGGGCTCCTCCTCCTCCATTGCGTCCGCCACCTCCGGAGCTAGGCCCTTCATCATGATGCCGTCAAGGCTAAGGCCAAAGAACTTCTTCCAGACCAGGTACCGGCATAGCTTGAACCCCGAACGATAGGAGTTCGTGTCGTACTTAACCTGAAGGTCGCGGAACTCTGGGGACTCTTTAAAGCGGTCCACCGCCTTGACCCTTTCTTCCTCCATGGCAGCGTCGAAAGTTTGAGCTCATTCGTGGAGGGTGGCCTCTAGACTCCGAACCTCCTGCCGAAGGCGCTCCCTCTCCTCGGTCGTCCTCGAGGATTCCTCCTTGTAACAAGTGTTCTCCTCGATCGGGAGATCCGCGCTTCCTGGTCTTGAACAAGTAGCCGCTAGGCCTCGCTCCCCTTCTTGGCCTGGAGGACCTCACCCCAGGCCCGGTCCAGCTCGCGATTAAGCCTCCATACTTCCGTCCTCTAGGTGTGGGCGTCCTTGGAATGAACAGTCGTCTGAGAGGCCATGGCATGGAGGGCGGAGTTCAACTGCCAATAGAATGCCGAGGTAAGTAAAAAAAAGGGGGGGGAGAGAAAAAGAGCAAGCACTTACCACCATGCAGTGAGTCGAAGTCAACCCCAGAAGCCGCCTAGGATGTATCCCAGACCATTCCGCGACCTCCTCGTGGAAGATCGAATCCCGGCTCCTCTGCGTGGCTAAGACATAGTTGGTGATGCTCTCATTTCGCCCCTCGGTGGGGAACACTGGCATGGCAGAAGGGTCGGTTGGCGCGGATGGCGGGTACGGTCCCGGAGGAGGGACCTCTTCTTCACCGCCTTTCGCGGCTACTCGCTCAGGGAATGTGGGTGGGACCTCCGGCAGTGGAACAAAGGATGGGTCCGCGGCCTCGAACTCTTCTTCACCGCCTTCCGCATCGTCTTGGCGAAACCTCTTCGCCCTATGCTTGCCCCTCTAGGAGTTCAACAGGAGGCGACGCGCATCCACGTCTGACATTACAGCTACAAAAGGAAAAGAGGCGTTAGCCCAGCTCGCAAAAACCAAGAAAGGAAGGAAAAACCTAAAGGTAACCTATGGGGCTCAGGCCGACCTGCACGAGCTTGTCCTCAGCCAAATAGTCCGCGTAGATGAAGCCAATCTCTGCCCAGGACTGTAGCGTTTCCTGCGTCCTCAGATCCAAGCTAACGCCCGGATCCTGAATGGCAGCCCTCTAGTGGGTTGAAAAGGGCCACCCCTCGGGATTACGAACTACAAAATACCCCCGCTTCCAGGCCGGGATCCTGTTGGGCAACTCATGGAGAAGCTTGAAGTCGGGACGGGGGGAAAATAGCAAGAGCGCCTATTTGCAGGAGCTCTTGAGGAAGTGTTCTTGATTGACAAGATGGAGGCAAAGGTATCGAGAGAAAAGGGAAGACAGTACTCGTAAAACAAAGAAATGGTCCCCACCAAATTATGAACAGAATTCAGGTGCAACTGGTCTATGGTGACATTAAAGTGAGTGAGGACCTCTATTATCAAAGGGTGCAGGGGAAGGCGAAGACCAGCCACGAGCTGTTCTTCGAAAATCACGATTTCGTCATGATCGTGCTCCCAAGGATAATCGTCGGTTGGAAGGCTGTAAGTAAGCTCCCTTGGGAGGTTGTATTGGAAGACCAGGGCCCGGAGTCTCTCCATCGACATAGAAGAAGGGCCAAAATTGTCCTGCTCCCGACTTCGGGAGGTGGAAGCCAGGTTACCAGAGGCTTCCCGAGCCTTCGGATACTGCCCCTCGAAAGGTCCCTGAGCTCCCCTCGAGCTCGATGGGGCTTCGCCCTGATTACCAGCCCAGGAAGGAGCACCACTGTACAGATACCCAAACATAATTGGATAAGGCAAAAAAGACTCATTGAAGAAGACGGACTGAAAAGAGCGATGCAAATTGGGAGAACTCGAGCAAGCAAGGCGAAGGCACGATCTCAAAGCCGAAAGCAAGGATGGTTGGTATAAAAAATGAGGCATGGGGCCCTCCTATTTATAGCCATTGTGCCCAAAAAACGACGACCCCGATTAAAGCAACCCAACGGCTCACAGTAAAACCGACTGCACGTCCTCCGAGATTGAAAGTAGTTTAGCGCGTTTTTTGGCGCCCGTGGGATCTATAAATCACGTAACGTCCGCACGTACACCTCACGCGGTTTGACAAGGTAGTTTGAATTATGGGTCAAATCCACCCGTCACTTTATGAACTCCCCGCGATAGGGCAAGACCCCTAGCTCGAGGAGTGGGGGGCAATTGATAAAGGATGATTTGGCCCGACCTCTTGACTAGGCGACACGTGTACGCAACTCAACATATACGACAACTCGGCATAGGCGGACCGGTACATGGACATGACTCGACGCATGTGATAGCTCAGCAAGTGTCAGCTCGCCACGGGGTGAGCTTGAGCACGCCGATGTCCCGAGCTTCACTCTGAATTAAGTTCGTCCCAGTTCGTGAACTGGAACAACGAGCTTGCTCCAAGCCCAAGAAAATGGGCCGCCTCGAAGACAACTCACCTCAGGCAGAACCACCTCGGCACGCCACCAGTAGCTCGTCACAGGGTAGCTCGCTACGGGGCGGCTTGACGTTCTAAGGGAAGCTTCTCATCTAACAAAGTCGTACCTGCTAGACTGCTCCCGCATCCCTCGTCTAACGGCGCAGCGCCTGCCAATTTAGAAGGTTGCGCCCCTATATTCCGCCTGGCGGCGTCGTGCTTACAGGTTGTCCCCCCAGCTGGCGAGATTGTACCATGCAACGGTCACTGTAGCCTACCTGCTCTCGGCCCTAATAGTAACGGCCAGCCACTCCGAGGTACGACCTGATAGCGGATCGCCACAGCAGGGATTTGGGATCAATCCCATTGAACCTATCAGACGCCAGTATATAAGCACTCCGACTCCTCAGAGGCAAAGGTATCGCATATTCACCACTCTCATCTTCTTGCGTACTCATTCTCAGCTCGCTACCGAATTCTAACTTAAGCGTCGGAGAGTCCCCGCCGGGTGTTCAACCCCGGATCCTTTCGTCCTTCTTGTAGGTATCTCTTGCTCGTCGCCAGTTAGAAGCCTCGTCACTTCCAGGTAGGAGTGGCTGGATTGCGCATCATCACTTGTTAATAGAGTAAGTCTCTTTTTTTTTGTATTTTGAGAGAGAAAAAGGTTGATTAATGGGATTTTTGTTCTCATTGATATCCATATTTTTTTATTTATGTGGAGTTTATGAAAAATTTATTCTCCTGACTATCATTTACCCAGATAAATATATTTATCGGCCCGAATAAATAATTTCCCAAAAAAAGAACAGGGCCTAAGACGAATGTATTGCTTCTTATTGTTGTAGTTGTTGACGATAAGAGCTCTGAATGACCTAGGAATCTTCTCATGTGTTGCTCTCGCTATCCTCCATTCATGGAACAAACTTTAGATGGAAATGCCAATTCATTTGCGAATATAGGAAGGAGTTGATGTGGACTCTTTTTGGTTATGCTACATTACATTTGCCACCCCTATAACCATAAGAGATAAGGCCCAAGAGAAAAGGAATCTCACTATCCATATAAGAAGAAAGGAGATGAATACAGCTGTTATCAACTAAATCAAAAATCATTTTTAAGGTTGGATGATTGCTGATTTGGGAAAACCCAAATTTTAGTGCAAAGGGCTTGTCGGAGTATAAATGTGCTGCTGAAAGCCTCAGCAGTCAGCAGCAGAAGTGGAGGTTGCATCTCTGGGGCGTTTTGGTAATTGGCATGTGTATTTAGGGCCATCGATCTAGTCCAATTTGAATTCAGATATAATTTGTTTAAGATGGATTTATATATCCACTACTCCACCATTGAAACAGATTTGAAATTTTGATCCACTTTAGTAATTTGGAACATGTTGGAGATGGAGACAGGACCTCTGGGCTCTGGATGGAAAATTATTCAAGAATCAATAATCAAAATCAACCAGTAGATGGGTGCCAAATATCTATTTTAAGTAGAATTATGGTCCGACTAGACGAGCTAAATGAGTAAAATCAAAGTGAAGGCCGGATTCGATCCCCAAGTTACCAGTGGAGGACCTTATCATAAAGCTTGCTGGAACCTTCTAATCTTCCATGATATGCATGTGACTTATGAGCCAGCTGATCTACTGGACAGGAGCCTACGGTGGTTTGAATACAAAAGACAAAGACAAATTGGCAATTTAGGGCCCTAGCCTTAGACTCATATTCACTTCTATGGAAGCCCGGGTGAACTATGCAAGCTGCTCTATCTTCAAATTCAATGCTTAAAATTTGCATCGGCTGGTTTGGTTTGGATTTTGGAACTAGTAAATCTTCATTAGCTTTACATTCCAAATTCTTCTTTTTGGGGTAAGCCATGTTTCCTTCAAATTAATTGTAAGTCCATAAACCAGGGGATTGATTAAAAAAAAAAAACATTTTGACAAGATAAGATTATATTGCCCAGACTGGCGCTCAGTACAGTAGATTGAATGGTTTAAGTCTAAGGAAAGAGACCATAAAACAGTTGACAAGATAAGATTGAATAAGATAAATTCAATTACAGAGACCAATCAATATATAACCAGCTGGTTTTCAAATAATGAATGGCGCTCAATTAAAATATTCTCTAGCTACATTAATGCCAAATTAAGAAGAACCCATATGGAATTCTCAATCCAATCTCATCAAGAAACTATAAATATAATGCAACCAGCAACCTTACCTATGCTATACAATTCAGGAGTTGTTATTGCTACCATTCCCCTTATCAAAAGCACCAACTAAACCTTCTCTCCTCATTTTCTCTTCCTTGGCTTTCCTACAAAAGACCACCCACCCATTCACCTCCAAAGCTACACAAACCCCAATCAAAGTAGACAGAGCCAAACAGTAGACCAGCTTGGCATAAGACCTGCTAGAACCCATCACCTCAAATCCCTGGAAAACGTTCACCACTCCTAAGACAACACAAGCGTACCCAACAAAATGGTGATAAGATTTCCAGTACTTCCTAAACTTGTGTGTTGCCTTGGGCCGAAATAATAAAGCCAACGACTGCAGACCCGCTAAGCAAAATGCTGCAAACCCCAGCTTGCGGTGGAGTCCATAAACCACTCCAGGGGACAACTCCCCGAGCCGTATTCCAATTGCGAACCCAATGGTCCCAAGGACGAAGGCAAAGAGTTGGGTACCCGCATGAGCATAAAACCATGCGGGTCCTAGCGATTGTACGTGCCTGAAGTAGCGTGCTGTGACAGCTCCGGCCGGTAGTAGGAATCCCCAGGAGATGGCATTTAGGGTTGCATGTACGGTTTTAAGTGTCTTGATACTGTTGTGGCTACTCTCAGTCACCACGCCCGACAAGACGTCTATGGTGGCCACGGAGGATAGGTCGTTGACTGTTGTTGGGTGGATTGTTGGGGAGTAGCCTTGGACATAGAGTCCTCTGTTCCACACATGATAGATCTTTGTCTTGTTTGGAACGAGCTTCAGTGTAGCGTAGATCTGTACTGAGGCGCCGTTGTGAATGGAGGCCATCCGACCACCACCGGCACCGTATAGGGTGGCAGAGGAGGAGAGGAGCTGAATGTCCAGTGGACGAGAGAGAAGTGGGGTCCTCTGAAGTTTTACAGTGGGGTCGAGGATATAAGGGAGAAGGACAACAAGGCCTGAATTGGGGTCAGGGAAGGCAACCAGGGCGCGAGTCCCAGTCATCTCGGGAGAGGTGGGGTTGATTCCCCATGCCACCCAACCCGATGGGGAGATGAAGTTGCCGAAGAAGACAAGATCAAGGGTTGCGTTGCGGGGGTAGAATGTCCATGCTATAGAGGCTTGCTGGGTAGGGAGGGCCATGCAGTTTTGATAAGTTTTTCTGGCCGCGACTGTCGTGCAATGAGCAGCTGTTGCTGTCCATGGCTCAGGGAAGAGGAAAAGCAAGAAGAAGAAGAAGTTCATGGTTGCTCAATAAAGGTGAAAGAAGAAAGAGCTCCAGAGTGAAAGAAATTCGATCTGTGTTAACTTGTATTGATTATGTATGTAAGATGTTTCAAGATAGAATTATGTCTGGTGGGGTGGGGTGGGGTACCACAAGAATTATGAGCATGGTAGTGTGGCCAGCTTAACTTTGAAGGTAAGGGTCAGACAATAGGTTTGGTGGGGGGTAATTAACATTTAAGAATGATCCCTCCCTAAGAATGTTTTGGTCAGTGGACTCATAATAAGTGCTTTTGTGGTGCACCCGCCTGTGCACATTGTGCTTTTGTTCTACTTTTTATTAAGAAAGAAGAATTTGAGTGGAAAGGGGGTCTGAAAAGTGAAAACGATTATAGCATATATTCGAGGTTGAAGTTTGGCTTTGAAGAAAAGTAAATGAGAATGGATTTGATTGCCATGTGCCCATGTCCATGTGAACGGATCTACATTCCACAAATATATGTCTCTATTCATCCGGTGGTGGTTGTTAATCTACTACAGAATTTGGGTTGGTTTTTGCTTGACCATCTCTTTTTAACTTTAGGAGATCCTCTGTTGAATGAGACTGAGATATTTGTGGGTCCCTCCAGCAAAGCGATAGGCCAGGCAATCCACACGTGGTTGTCAACTTCACTTAATTGTGGTGAACTTACCTTGGTATCATGCCTGTCTTAAGGATGTCATCGGCTCGGGTTAACTGATGAATCCGTACTAACCCGACCCTAACCTCAATCCAGTTTCGGATTTCGATTGCTATAGCTCCGTGCTGATGATATGGCGTAGTTTGAGTTTAGTCTAACTTTTCAAAATCAATAATGCAAATATGGTTCGGAATAGTACGAACAGGCTCAACCTATAAACATTTAAAATGTCAAAAATCTTACTTACCCGTGAGGCCGTGAATTGATATCATTGTCAGTTGGCACACACCCCAACTGTACGTTGGGCCTAACCCTCTGTATACGAGCGTGGATAAATATACATCTTGACGGAACTAATTTACGAATTCTAAGGTGCTGTGAATCCCTGCTTTTTAAAGATGAGTAACTGGGCTCAGAAAATCCAACAGGAAAGCAATTCGATCCAACCGCACAAGGTTTAATGAGATTTCGGGGTGTAATGGTTTTGTTAATCAACGTATGCGGCTGGGCTGTTATTTATTTGTCACCAATGCGTGATAAACACGCTAACTCGCTAAGTGCGCTCATGGCTTATTCGACGAGAGCGCGTCCATTTGATCATCGCTCTTCCGCTTTCGGTGTGACCGCGAGGCAGGGAGTGGGAGCGAGGCAGCGACCAAGCAAGCGACAGTAAAGAGGGGGAGTAGGGAGTAGGGAGTAGGGAGGATGAGGGCGAGCTTGGTGGGAGAGAAGGTGATTTTGGTTCCGTATATGAGCGAACACGTCCCGAAGTACCATGAATGGATGCAAGATCCAGCTCTCCTTCAAGCTACGGGGTCGGAGCCACTAACGTTGGATCAAGAGTACGAGATGCAGCTCTCTTGGACTCAGGATCCCAATAGTACTCTCTCTTGCTTTCTTTCTCTCTTTACTTTTCCTTTTCTTTTTTATCTTCTTCCTTTTTTCCTGTTTTCGTTGTTCTTTGCTGAAATATTTCTTTAGAAAACTCAGTACTCAGTTGGGTTGTCTCCTTATTGATGAATAAATGAACATTAGAAAGGTGGGTGGTCTTGCAGAGCAGACTTTCATTATATTGGACAGACAAATGGTATTAGGAGAATTCTTCCACGGGGATCCTCACGTTGAAGGTCTGTAAGTTACATCCTTTTTATTTCCCGAATTCTGTGGTTTTTTCTTTTTTGTATGTCGGGTTTTATTAGGAAGGCGTTGTTTGGGATTGTAGTTGTAGGCTTAATGTTTCGGGGGACTTTTGCCTAGTCGTTATGAATTTGGAAAACTATATTCCACTTATCAGTGTTTTTTTATTATTTTTTTGAAGCATTGGGCGGCGTTGGAACTTGAACTCGGGTTCTTTTACTGTAACAATATGATTCGTTTTTTTTTTTTTTCAGTCTCAACTTTTTTCTTAAAGCAGTCTCAAGCTTGATTGACGGTACTAACCATCAAACTTTAAGTTTTCCTGTGATACACTCTTGGCAAATAGAACGATGTTTTCGTTTCTTATTGCAGGTTCTTAAGTGACTGATACCTTTTTTTTTTTGGGGGGGGGGGGTTAATCTTGGTTGTCGACTTTGGCCAGGAGACCCTACAAGAGTTGCCCAGGCTCCTAGGCAGATGCATTATGTAGTCGCTGAACCAAAGATGTCATTTGCCCAATACTTAACTCATGCTTAATCCCCACTATTTGGGGTTGGCTACACGAATCCTATCTTGCCATATCCATTCTGCTCCATCAAGAGCTTTGCACAAAGCAACATATTCCTGTTCATTTCGGATGGGCTATCACTGCCGGAGCTCAGCAGTTCAATACTTGGTGCATGTAAATTGTCTATTTGTAAAATAATACAAGTTGGATTTCACATGCTAATGGCATAAGTAGTTAAGTTTAGAAACATGAAGAATAAACAAGTATTATACAACAAATAATTAACATGGACTATCCGAAATATAATTCGGCAGCATGTAGGTTGAAAAATCTCTGAAAACAGCTGGGAAGAACTTAACTAATGGGTGCAAATAATGAACAAAAAAGTAAGCATTGAGTGCAAGAGAAAATTTTAATGAGAATCTTTCTCCAACCCTGTTTGTTTTCTTTCCTCTTTATTAAAAAAAGAACCTCCTCTTTGATTATTAGCAAAGCTTTTCTATCAAAAGCAGAAAAGAGAAAGAAAGAATAGATCCTGCTCCTTCTCTTGGTTAACAAAGAAACAATGAAAAAGAAAGAAGCTAAATGATACAAGAACGAATGGATATATACCCACCTGATTGGCCCAGCTGGTGGAGATATTGAAAGGAGAGTGCAGATTCAAAGTGTTGAATGGAGATCATCCACATTAGGATGGTACAATGGTTGAGAACATTGGAACTGTTCAAAGTGTTCTCAGTTGATGGGCTGTTAAGGAATTGGAAGGAGATTGCAGATTCAGGCTTATGTAGAAAGATCTTAAAAGCTTTCTAGACTCCTCGACCTCTTGGGTTCACCAAACTGAACTTTGATGGCAGCAGCATAGGCAACCCAGGGCCTTCCGGAATTGGGGGTGTGAGAAGGGATGAAACAGGGAACTTGTTAGCCATGTACTCTGGGCCGATTGGGGTGGGAGACTCTTCGAGGGCTGAAATTTTAGGAGCTATTGAAGGGATACAAAGGGTCAAGGAAATGAATATCAAAAAGGTGGTTATAGAAGGTGATTCTGAAACGGTGGTGAAATGGCTAAAACTGGACAGTGCTATGATGTGGAAATACAGCAATGAAAAGAGGAAGTATAAGTGGTTAGCCAAGGACATGGAAATTCAATGTACATGGATAAAGAGAAGTGCAAATGCATTGGCTGACGGTCTAGCTAGGCAAGGGTTAAATAGAGACACATTATTTTGGGCTGTTTTGTAATCACTGCATGGTCAGAAAGTTTCTTGGGTAGCTGGAGTCAAGACTTTTTAGCTCCCTCCCTTTGTAATCCTGATTTTATATCATTAATAAAATTTCACTGTTACTGATAAAAAAGAAAAGCTGGTGGAGATATTGTTGTATGTACACCAAAAATATGCTATTTTTGTATGTTTCTGTTGCCTAGCAGAAAATGTTAAATGGCCTAAAGATTAATCTCGGTGCCATTTTGCTGATAGCCAAAGTATCACTCCCCTAATCATGCTTAGGGTTCCCCTTTTCCCAGGTTCTGCCTGGGCAATCCATAGACACCATGGGATTAACAATAAAACCTTCTGAAATTGAATATTTTAATTTGTTTTGTAAATAATTATAAAAACATGTGTCATTTATGGTATTACTGAAATCCTGGAATCCCATCCAATCCCAATTTGAGCTCACTAAAATTATGAGATTTCATTTGCAATTTTAAGTAAGTGTTGTTTCTTCACCCCAAAACAGAGCAAAAATCTCATGAAATTTCAAAAAAAAAGAAAACATCAGTCCAATAAATGTTATGTCTCTTATTGAAGAATAACATGAGTGGAAAATGTAGGAATTGTTGACAGAGATAACCTCTTTAATTATGGTTTGTGTAGTTTCAGACACTTTGATGCCTGTCCAAAATATGTTATTGTTTAATTCCTTTTCCTTGTGTGCTGTTCCAGTCAACTGTTCTAGATTTATTTTTCAATAATTGCCATTGTTTGCTAGTGGTGTTTGTTTGGTCACATTGGCAACCTGGATTTTGAGTTGTTAATCCAGGTTGCCACTTTTTTTTTGACGAAACCGTAATCCAGGTTGCCACTGTTCTGTTCAACTGTTCTAGACAAGCTAGCTTTGTAGCCAAGTGATATGTCCAGACATGCAGTGTTGACTGTGATGAGACTTCTTATCATGATTGAAATTGTTCAGACAATGTTGAGACACAAATAAAGGGAATACAAGTGTACAAGAAAAGGCCACATCAGCCTTTAAGTAATGTAACTGACAACCAACCATTAGAACAAACTAAATAACAAACTGGACAAGTGGAGAGGCTGATATAACAGAATTGTAACAGAAGTGTATAAATAAGGAAAGGAAGCCAGAAGAGGAATTATTGATTTTGGGAATACAATCTCTCCCTCTCTCTCTCTTTCTCTTTCTTTCTTCCTTCTCTCTCTCTCGTTTAGGAGGCAAGCTTCCTCGAAAAAGTCCCTGAGTTAGGCTGTTCCTAACAAGTTGGTATCAGAGCCAAGATGCCAAGCACAAGGTCGTCTGCGATGGAGAACATGGTCGACAACATGGAAGGAGAAATGCAAAGATTATCGGCTTACGTCAAAGAAATCAAAGAAAGCTTCGCATCCTTGCTTGAACGACTGGAACAGACACCACCAGCGCCGAATCGGGAAGGGTAGGAAGAACGCAGTGACACCAGTCATTGCAGCGGATCAAGAACGACAAGAATCAAGTTTCCCGTCTTCGCAGGGGGAGATCCCACATCCTGGCTTCTGCGAACAGAAAGATACTTCGATTACCACGATACGCAGGGACCTAATTGTGTTCCATTAGCTTCTGCACACCTGGAAGGAGAGGCGATCGTCTGGTACCAGTGGTACCGGTGACGGCACCCAAGAGCTACATGGGTGGACTTCATCGATGCCTTAACCATGAGATTTGGAGTCTCGGCCTTTGAAAACTATGATGAAAGCCTCGCTAAGCTACGACAGACTGGTTCCGTCCAAGATTATCAGATGGCGTTTGAAAGGTTAGCTGTGTGCATGCAATGCAAGGGTGGCCAAAAAACGCACTTGTTGACAGTTTTGTTGGTGGACTCAGGGAAGAATTGCGGCTGGAGGTGAAATTGTTGGTCGACAGTTTTGTTGGTGGACTTCATTTTAATGCAGATAGACTCCCACGGGAACGGCCCAATTCTAGCCCAAGGAAGTAACTTCAACAGATCCGAAGAAGCCCACATATAACTACAGTAGCTACTTCAGAAGTTTTCAGTGATCTTCCAAGAGCCTAAGGAACTACCACCGAAATGTGCCCATGATCATTGCATTCCATTGCTGCCCGGAACGACACCCACAAATATAAGGCTCTATCGTTACCCCTATTTTTAAAAACTAGAGATTGAGAGACAAGTGCAAGATATGCTTGATAGAAAAATTATACAACCCAGCCAAAGCCCATTCTCCTCGCCAGTATTACTTGTGAAAAAGAAGGATGGGACATGGCGGTTTTGTATAGACTATAGGGCCCTGAACAACATTACTGTGAAGGATCGATTTCCCATACTAGTAATCGATGAACTCGGCAGGGCCACCATATTCTCTAAACTAGACATGAGGTCGGGATATCATCAAATTCGGGTCCATGAGGGTGACATCCACAAGACTGCCTTTCGTACACACGAGGGGAATTATGAGTTTTTGGTCATGCCATTTGGGTTGACCAATGCGCCAGCTACATTCCAAGCACTTATGAATGACATATTTTGACCCCATTTGTGCAAATTTATACTCGTTTTTTTTTTATGATATACTTGTATATAGTGCTACGTGGGACGAACACCTAGTACATCTACAAATCACCTTGGAACTACTAAGGACTCATAAACTCTTTGCAAAGGAGTCAAAGTGCGCATTTGGACAGATGCAAGTACACTACTTAGGGCATGTAGTCGAAAACAGCATTGTAGCAACAGACCTGAAAAAAATCTCAAGCATGATAAATTGGCCCCGACCTCAAAATGTTAAGCAGTTATGTGGCTTCTTGGGTCTAACAAGGTACTACTGGCGATTCATCAGAGGGTATGGACTGATTGCTGCCCCCTTAACAAGTTTACTTAAGAAGAATGGTTTCTGCTGGACTAGGGAGGCCCAATAGGCCTTCGAGACGCTTAAAGCAACCGTCTCGTCCCCACCAATGCTCGCACTTCCAGACTTCTCAAAGGACTTCATCATTGAATGTGATGCATCAAGCCAAGGAGTAGGTGCGGTCCTCATGCAAGAAGAAAGGCCACTAGCGTTTTTCAGCAAAGTAATGACAACACAGAAATGGGCCAAGTCAGTATACGAACGCGAACTGATAGCAATTGTTCTCGTAGTTCAGAGGTGGTGGCCCTACCTTCTAGGGAGGAGGTTCATCATACGAATTGACCACCATAGCCTGAAATTTCTGTTGGAGCAGTCCGTACTATCCTCGGAACAGCAGCGA